AAAAAAAAAAAAAAAAAAAAAAAAAAAAAAAAAAAGAAAAGCATTTAAAGTCATAGGAACTCCAAGAATTTTTTCAAAATTATATTTTCTTAACTTTGTTCACCCTATGAGGTGAAAAAGAACCAAAACAAGTCAATAGCTGTTTCAAAGGGTCCTCTAAGAAAGTGTGTGTAAAGATATCAATATCTGAAAATTCTAGTGTCTCTCAGAAAAAAAATATTTTTGAGTATAACCAGTGTCTCCATGTGTAGAAGAAAATTCCCAAATTATTTTCACATTATATGCCAGTCCCAGATGTAAATTGCATTGCTCATATGTGAAGCAAATATTTTAGCAATGCTGAAATTAATGTTTGCTATCAAATCTAGTTTAGGCCAGAGATAAAGGAAAGAAAGTGTTTTAAAAATTCCATATGCCAATTTTTTGCCCTGTACATTGAAATAATATTTATATTAGCCTCTAAAGATCTATAGTAGTATTGTTTAAAAAATGTGCCTGACAGATGACATTTATAGTACAGCCCACCTCAGTTTGCATGTTTATTGCAGCTTTTTTATAAGGCCTTTCTGGCTTTTGGACCTTACATGTTCCCATCTTAGATTCAAATTTTATTTGATGACTTTTACCTACAGCAGTCTTTCTCAATCTTATCGTAAGTTGAATGTATTTGGTCATAATGTTTACAATGATGAAATTCATCTAGTTCCCTTATAAACTAGCTTTCTATAGAAAATAATTTTTCTTTTTAAAGAAAAAACTGCTTTGTATTTTTGTTTGTTTAGTCAATTCATAAATACTGGTTGAACACCTATATTTGAGCACCTAGGAACCAAATCTGGAAAATACAATGAAAGTAAAATAGGCATGGTATCTGCCTTTGTAGATCTCATAGCCTACCAAAACTATTCATAACTACAATTGTGATGAATGCTGAAAGTGAAAATTTTAAGATTATGTGAGAGCACGTAATAGAGGAGCTTACTGAATGTGTGGTTGTCAGAAAAGGCTTAGGAATTAGCCAGAACATGGCTAGCATGTCCCCAGGAACTAAGGCAGACACAAAGTTGATGCTTTTGAGGACCTTAATGAAGAACAGTGTGAGTGGCATGAGGGAGCAAAGGTACAAGATGAGGCAGAGGAGGTGGGGTGAGCAGCAAAGGAGGTCACATTAAAGCCTTGGGCCTCTTCGTGGGGAGCCATTGCAGGAATTAAAGCTGTGGAGTAGTGTTCATTGGTAGCACTCAGAATTAAGAAAGGCTAAATGACCCTTTGCTCCATTGCTTTCCTCTCTTGGTCAGGAATATGACTGGAGAAACTACCAGCCAAGCCAGATGAGCGAATCCGAGTTACAGATGCTGGCAAGCCTACGGCGGCAACAGAATGAAGAGCTGGAGGATGCAGGGGCTTCCCATGGCCTGAGTGCGTCCCAGGTTGACAACTGTAATGTCAGCATAAGTACCAGCAGTGATGACACAACCACCTGGAACTCCTGCCTGCCACCGGTGAGTCCTGGACTTTGCATTTTCCTTTCCTTGCCTTAAAAAGACCAAGCATCCTTCTAACAAAAAGCCCAGCCTTGCCTGGGAAAACTGGGGCCAAAATGAGAAAACTACCTATGAGAAATATTCAGAACCCATTCTGAAATAGCATTTTAGAATTGGAAGCACAAAGTAGAAGATGACACTGTCTTTTCTTAAATTGTCTTATTTACCTTCAGAAAATGGAGGTATACTGATGTATAAAATTATACATTGAAAGAAAAAAGAATTTTTCTGTAGAGTCTGCATATCCTGTTGTGTGTCTTGTTCCTAGCACAAGCCCTATGGAACATAAAAGAGGCTCAACATTCTTTTTTTTTTT